GTGTGAATGTGAGGCAGAGGGGTGATTAATTTGTTGAACTTGTACGCCACATAAAGAAATTTAAATGTTGGATTATTTTTATTTGTGCCACTAATGACATTCATTACTTAAATCTGCAAACTGCTAAAACCTCCTCAACTCAGTGAGGTTATTTTTCCTATATGGTTACTGTTTCTACAGACACAAAGTCATGTGCAGCTTGTGAAGTGGTTGCATCACGCAGAGATGAAGGTCTGCACCACACAAATGTTTGCCACCTGGNAACATCTGACTTTTCATTTTCAAATACAAATAGTGAAGAATGTACATGCTTTAATCATTTATAAATGGTTTTAACTATTAACAGATGTAAGTTTATTGTATTAAAATTTGTTTTGTCTAATTCAAACCATCTCTGAGGAACAGAGTCAAATGTAAAAAGTGTTGCAACTGTCCCCTGTCTCCCCTACAGTATTTAACAGTTTTCCCAACATGTTTTCAATCATCAGGTGCACAGGGTGTTTCGTTTGGTAAAAGTCAATAATTGTCCAGTTTTAAATAGGCAATATCTGTTAAATGATGGCCCCTCCTATTTAACAAATGACTTATTTTACTCCACTTTCAAAATAAAAACMATTCCTTAAATAAATGCACATCACYTGCTGCCTTTCATTCTAAAATGTTCAACTAAAATCATCTTGTGCTGAGAAGGAATGATGCAACAGCTGTTTTGGTTGCTCAGAAAATAGGCCTATCTGTAAAATAGCTGAATTAAAGACATTTTAATTTTTTCTTAGGTCTGCTTGTTTTGGTGTCATTGATTTGAATTGACTCTCAAAGTTATTAGATAAAAGTTCAGTTTCTCTGTTTATAGGCCTGAACAGCTCATGCTGCTCAGCTTATTTTTATCCAAAGAATGAACCAGGTGTATTTTTGGTTCAAAGCGCAACAGGAAGTACAATGTTTGTAGAAAATTCCTCCAACGTTCCTGCCACATCTATGGAATGACAATATTGTTGCACCTGTTCATCTATTCTTTTCTGTTTGAAAATAATAAAAAAAAAATTTACTCGGTTAAAATAGAAGGAGCCTCTAATAAATGAGAACAACATATGTGAGAAAAATGCACAAGAATGAATAAATAATTTCAGTTCTATTTTGAGGTTTATTAGCTGTTGTTAACTGTAATGAGGAGTTAAAGAATCCATAACKCAATAATAAAAATGCAGTAGAATCATCTGCTGATTGAATGATGCACAACWTTTTGTAATGAACTCCCAATAAGACAATACCTAAAAAGCTGGGCCTCATTGAATGTTTTACTTCTGGTATAAAGGATACAAGCAAAATCTTCTTATTTTAGTATTTTATTCTCAACTGTCAGTTTTTTCCTTTCCTTTTTTAGCATWCTTCCATCTATGTGTCTACCACTTGTTTGTTCCATGGTGCTTACACCT